TCTCTTTGTATTACCTTCTTTGCTTTTGGGTTCCTCGTTCCAGCTCTTGGCAAGGGCCAACAGAAATATTTCGTTCATTTAAGATACTAGTGTCTATTTCATGGTTACTGGGATTGGGATAGTGAAGGGTCTGAGGGGGAAGGATCTTAAGGTCTTCCAGAAGGGCTAGGGTAAAAGTAAGGGAGCAGAGTTTAAACTGGCGTCCGATAATCCATCTAGGACCTCCCTACCTCAGGCAAAATAAATCAGCCACATTTGCTGCTGCCACCCTTCTCTTTTATCACCTCCAGCAATTTCTCCCCACTCCTCTTCATGGATTTACAGCCTCCCTGCTTTCTGTTCTGCACACTCCCCCCTCCCTATGCTGTCAGTCATTTTCATTTTTCACTTGCATGAGACTGAGTCGTAACGCATCTTGTCTAGGGTTTATCACATTTGAAGTGTGTTCTTATACCACATTGCAACACAGGGACAAAGAATCAATAGACATTAAGAAAACAGAGGGCTCTTTTCAGCCCTTGCAATCACATCATGTCCAAGGGCTATTCAGTGAACAGATATAATAATCTAGAAAGAGAGTAGAAGGAACCCAAACCCACCATTCTCATTGTATAGATGCAGAAACCAATGAACAGTGAGGTCAAGCAGATTTTCAAACATCCCACAGCAGTAATCACCAGAGCAGGAAAAGTTAATGGATGGTACATTTGGGGAAGGGCTTTGCCTGTAGGAGGTACTCATTTATGGATACTGCCTAAGAGTATTTTGATTACATACGGAAGTAGACCTATTCTCATTAGTCAGGCCTCTTTTCTCTGCTGCTTCTCCATGGTAGGTCAAGACCAAGCCTTGGTCTTTTTGACTGGCTTTTTGACTGGGTCTTTTTGACCCAGTCTACCCTTTTTGACTGGGTCAGGAGCAAAAGAACCCAGGTTCCAGCCCACCTGGTTCCAGCCTGTACAAGCTGTCTGACCTTAAAAACACCATTTAACCACATATCCTTAGTTTCCCAGCCTGGTCTTGCCCTGGGTATCAGGCAAGACGAAGCACACAAAATCTCTCTGAAGGATGGAGAGCACTTCACAGCACAAAGAGCTGTTTTCCATTCTGCCTGTGCACTGGAATCCTTCATGGAACTTGAAATAGGGAGTGGGGGATACTGGGGCTGGGACCCAGTGTCTGGGAACTCTTTAAAAAGCTCCATAAGTAATTTTGATGCACAGCCAGGCATGGAAACCACTGACAAAGTATAAAAGACAAATAGGAGAGGAGAAATAAATGATATTATTAGCCAAAAAGAAGTCTTAGATTATCTGATTAAGGTGGTTAACAGATAACCTAAAGAACAATGAAATTGTCTGCCTTTTTCAGAGCCCCCAGAACCCTAATCTCAGATTCCTTTCCTCCTCCTAGAAAAGATGCCTGTTACTTCAGTGACACTCCTTTTACCTCAAAGTACACACACACACACACACACACACACACACACACATCATGAATCATCTCAACCCACCTCCATGCTGAAGTCAGATTCCAAGTAATGTCTTATATTCTTTGACCTCTGAGTAACAACGCTGCCCCTGTTCTGTCCTTTCAGGTCCAGGAAAACCATCTGATTAGGCCATGGAGAGAGTAACCCAAATCTCCACAGGGCGATCTATAAACCAGCCTGCTAATGTATTCCCTGGGGAATATTCTGTCAGAGTCCTAGTTCCTCTTTGAAAGTAATTGAATGGCTCTGAGCAAACTGTCCAATTGCTAGGTCTCTCAGATAATTGTTGTCACCTGATCGTCACCCTCACCAAGCATTTCCTTCCCTGGAGCAGTTCTCTTTGGAATACCAGTTAAGTGTGGTCAGAAACTGGCTGCAGCAGCTATAACATTAAAGAAAATGAACCCCCAGAAGGAGAAGAATGAATTTGGGGGAACACTTCATTCAGTCCCTGAGACACCAATGGAGACAGTTGGTACTTTTGTCTGCCCAGCACATCTCTCCCCTCTTCTGGGAATGGAACTTCATTCCTTGGGAGAAAGCCTTTCTTCCTCTGCATGGTTCTGGGTGGCTGACCAAAGTACCCTGGCTTGTTCCTCTGAGGCCACAGGGGTGGACCTCTCCCCCTGACTTATTTAACCATAATAACATCCTACTCACCTGGCCACAGCAATTGGTCTGGGGATTATCCAAGGACTGATCAAAAAATAATAATAATAATAATAATAATAATCAGGGATTAAAAAAAATAAAGCTGGTGGGGAAACTGTCTTTTCTTTCTGGTCGAGTGGCTGTATAACTGTGACACCAGAGCTGCCACATGAGAAGGCGGAAAGGATGAGGCTGCCATCCAGAGATGAGGTTGTGAGAGAGAGAAGGAAATGAAAGAGTATGTTTTTATGCGGTCAAGTTTTGTCTGACTTGGCATCATCTGGCAACTATTCTTTTGATTCTTTGAGTTGCCCCAAGATTTTTGCACAAAACCTTTTTATAATTCTTTTTTTTTTTTTTTTTGTTTTTTACTTAAGCCAGTTTGTATTAGAATTTCTGTCACTTGCAACCCAGAGTCTTGATGGACAGAAACACTTTGACAGCATTCCTCTCTACCATCGACTTTTCTGAAACTTCAAAAATGTGTCTGTGAATCTCAGAACTGAGTGTGTTCCTGTCTTTCCCAGATCAGTGTGGGATTGCTGGATGGTCACCTTGATTATTCTGGGAACTGTGTTTCCCAGCACCCCCTTCCCTGAATGACTCTGGTTAGGGTGGCTAGAAGTGAAGTGGCATGAGACGGTGAGGGCAGCAGTGAAGCAGCCGCCATCTTGTGCTGAAGGCCACTGTTGGCTGGAGCTGGTGAGGGACACAGAGATTCAGCCAGGCTCCTGTGTGTCCCCGTTCTTCCCTGCCCCTCTGGGACTGCCAGCCCTGCTGACCAACAGTGACTCCATGCCCACTCTCAGACATTTTGCTGCAAACTCACAGAGGCAAGAGCTGCAAAGAGCCAATGAACTCCAAAGAGTCAATCCTTCCAAAGATTCTGCAGGAGCCCTGGAAGGCCCCATTCCACAGCTCGACCTGCCTTGCTTTCTGTAAGCTCCACTTGGTTCAGCCACATCAAGGCTGGTTAGTGACTTCCGTGATCTTTTAGATTTTTACTCTCCCAGCTCCACACCCCCATTGTGAAAGAGCTTCTTTATTATGATAAATTCCGTATTCTGTACTAGTCATAGTAGTTCTGCTTCCAGAGTTCAATTCTGACTCATACAAGTGGCATCGGGTGGACCCAGACACAGAAGCTTCCCGATTCCTTTCTTTGCTTGGTACCTACACTCAGTCCATCCATCTTTGTAATTCTCCTCCTCTCTGTTCACTACAACTCCTTCATCTTCTCCTGGCTCGCCCATGTGTTCGTGGGAAGACCTGACTCTGTTCCTGATCACCTTACCGTTGTGCTATTTGCTGTCTCATGCCAATTTCCCCCCGACCTCAGTCTGACTCACTTTCACACTATTTCCTGCTCTCCCTTCCAATCACAAGACTGCAGGCAGTCTAGAGGTTTAACACACACTGCAATCCAGTTAAGGCAAAGGCCAGGACGTCCTACCCAGAGGCTCCCACTCCTGATTTCCATCTAGGAAATGTCATTAAAGAACAAAAAAGAGAACTTAATGGGTACTGTGTGTTGTCAATAAATATTTTTAAAATGAATTAATGTAGTAAAGACTATTTGAGTTGAAAATTACCAAGCAATATTTAAAAAATCAACATGGCATACTATTGGCCCATTGAACGCTGCAGGCATGGGTTTGAAATTTCCACTGTGATGGGCTCAAGGTCTCTTCCAGCTTTGTGATAATAGCTCAAAGTCCAGAACCACTAATCCCTGCCCAGCCATTGCTCAATGTGCAACCTCTGTTGAGTCAGCTGGCCTCTCTAGGCTTTGGCAAGTCTATCTGGATCCATGAAGTCAACAGAGAAAAATCTTAAAACTGTGGTGTGTCAGGCTTGGAAGCAACCTTAGGGGTTACCCGTAATTTGGAAGCTGCTTCTTGCTTATTTCCATCCAATCCCTCTGGCAGTATTAACCCTTCCAGCTGGAGCCATGTGGCCATGGGGCGCTGTGCCACCATTGTAGGAAGAAGCCGGGGATGGTGGTTTGTGCCTCTGTTGGGACTCTGTCCAAGAGAAGAACAAGTCTAACAGCAGAATTTTCTTCATATAGAATTAGGCAACCTAAATTTTAAAAAGGATACTGTTACCCAGTTGACATGGGACATGAACAGCAAGTGAGTACTGAGGGAACTTGGACCATGCGAGAGGAAGAATAATTTATTACAAGCAAGAATAAAGCAAGTGGCTACCAGTATTGAGCATCTACAACGGGGTGTGTTAACATTTAATCTTCACAACGACCCCATGAGTGAGGCTGTGCTGCCTCAAACTTACAAATTTACAAATGAGATCCAGCAATTTCGAGTAACGTGCCTCAGGTGGCACAGCTGGTAAGTGGCAGATTTGGGATACCAGACACTTTGGAGTGACCCCAACCTCTGTTCTCTTCCCGTATATAATAACCCTGTACCTCTATACCTGTCTCTCATAGTTGATTCAGGGTCCTTTCTAGTTTTTTGGTAAGAAAGGAATTAGAAGCCAACACTTTGTATCATTATATTGTGTGTGTGTGTGTGTGTGTGTGTGTGTGTGTGTGTGTATATATATATATATATACACATATATCATATTATATCATATCAGTGGTTGGTTGGGTAAATTTATAATTAAACAATGAAATGCTCTTTCAGTCATTCAGATTTGGTTATTCTTCCCTCTTCCTTCTTTTTGTCTATATACACTCCCCACTGTAAAACTCCTCTGGCTTTTTGGGCTACTAGGTGGATTCTGCCAGGTCATTGAAATCAAGATTGTATATCCCAACCAGGTGAGCAGGGACCTTTAACTGAGGTTGGTTTGACAATATTTGCTTGCTTCACATCCATTCGTATCTGTCCTCGGGACCTCCTGGAGTGCTATGGGCAGGCCAGCAGAGCCCTGACTGCAGCCCAGAGAGGAAAATGACTTGCCCAGTCAGTAAGTGGCCAAGTGAGTACCAAAGGCCAAGTTCCTTGACTCTTGTGTGCATGTTTTGATGTTCCTTTCATACATGTAGGATGCATTTTTACCCAGGCCTAATGCGGAGCAGGGTTGGGAGATGTTAGCCGCTCTCTCTTCAACTCTATCAGCACCCCGTCCCTCCACACACTCACCTTTTACTTGGCCATGAACAGCTGATGTTCCCCTAGTTCAGGTAAATTCTGTGCAAAGATGACAAGCTGGGTCCCCAAGCCCACCCTTTCCCAACCAATGAGGGGCCTAAGTCCTTCCTGTATCGAAATTCTGGAGCCACCAGTACATAACTGCCTCTTCTAGGAGACTGTCAGCTTCTTCCCAAGGACAGGAAATAGAACCCCTCCCCCCACCGCTTTCTCTGATGTCCCCAGAAGTATAATGTGAGCTCTGCATAGTGTAGACTTACAATGAATATTTGCTCCCGGGCCTGCTGCTGGAGTGGCCAACTATGCTCAGTCCCAATTAAGGAAGCTTGTGTATTTGAAAACCAGGATTCCTTGCATAGTCTCTCTAGGACAAGCCAGGAGTTAAATAATAAGATGAATTTCAATTTTTCATGGCTCATATCACTTCGATGCTATATATCATGGATTCCTACCCTACGTTGTGGATTCCTCAAGCAAAGCCACCATGTGTCAGCACGTAGTTGCTACTCCGTGTTTGCTAAGTGAATGACTCAGAATCTGGATACATGATCCTTATAGTACCTAATAGCATACCTAAGGGCAGCACACCTTACTTGAAAAGACGTCCGACTGTACTATCACATAACAGTGAGTGATTACATAATGCTTTTTACCATCAGAGAGAGATAAACAAATGGAATTTACAACACAGTGTAAAATATGAAGGCAATCATTGGTCACCTCTGTGCCTTCTGCTTTTCACATTGTAGTGAGGTGACTGTTATAAGAAAGGATGGTACACATTTCAGGACGGCTGTAGACATACACTGGCTTATCTGCTCAGTTGTTATCTTCTCGGGGTACAGTCCAACCTGCCCCAACCCCCTCCAAACACATCCGCTCACCACACCCCTCGGTGTGGTCCAGGCAGCCATGTTTATGCAGTGACCTGCTCGGGTTCTCTCTTGTAAGAATTTGGAATTTGAAATATAGAGACACAAAGAAAAGAGGCTGTCTGGAGAGGCAGACCCATTAGTGGCAGCCCCCCTGGAGGGGAGGTTCACACACACACACACACACACACACTCACAGAACTGAAATGGAATCAGAAAACTTGGTAGTTCTCAGGATTCAATATATAGAATCTGAAAGTGAATTAATCTTTTCTCCCTGTTGCTCTCTACACCTCCATGGTAAAAATAACAATAAAAGCTTGTATTTTATTTCATATTTCGAATGATTCTAGAAGCCCATGGAGGGCAAGAATGCACTTACCTTTCTACTTCCCATGGGCTTAACGAATCCCTGACCCTCCTCAGGCACTCAGTGAACATTGATGTAGCTGAAGTAATTTGATTGACCGTATTGACAAAAACAGTGAATTTGCACGTTCCTGGGGTAAACAATATTAAGACTCTACTCACGTTTAATCACGTATCTGCTTTAACAACGACACCACAAGGATGAAAGGGAAATTCCTGTGGGATGTTTTAGTGGCTTTCTCTGCCCTCAGGCTTCCCCACTGCCTGTGTCCCCAGGGACCCCACAGGGGACACACCGTTGGGAAAGGGTACAGAGAGCAATCGGGGCCTGCAGTCCGTGGATACACCCTGAGCAGACTCTCTCCAGGCCCAGGCTGACCTTCTGAACTTTTGAACCAGCTCTTTGGGCACAGAGAGTCCAGAGGCTCTGGAGAGAGTTGAGAATGAGCTGGGGGCGTGGAGCCTGGACAGAAGGTGGGTGGGTGTGGAGGGTGACAGCTCGCCCCTGAGGACACAGTTGGCAGAGACCTTCAGTGGTTGCCTACAGGTGAGTAGCCTCCTGTCTGAAGAGTTTGTTAGTTCACTGCACTGGCCGCCTAAAGTCACTCATGAAGGACTGGGGGATGGTCTTGGTGAGGTGGGGAAGGGTGCAGAGTCAAGGCCGGCAGTCCCAGGGATCAAAGCATTCGGGGTGTGGAAACCTATCCCCCTGCACTCCACATCAGGTGTCCTTCAGTTCCCTCGTTCCTGCCCTCTGGGAGGCCCTGCCCTGATAAACAGCTATGGAATGTCGACACACATGTGAATGTGCTTGCAGCTGAAGCTCTTGAACATTCAAATGCCTTCCCTGCTGGATAATCTCTGAAAGAAGTTGGACAAAGGAGAGGGGAATGGACCCAGGGAGCTTAAGAAATGTTTTTGTAAACCTGTATCCGGCCACACTAAATATGTATGCAATGAAGGTGGGCCTTGCACTCCGGGGGGTTTCCATTCATGTGTTAGGATTTCAGTGATAAGAAAATATATTTTTAAGTTCTTTTTCCATGCCTGTGATGTATCTTGGAAAGTTAGCAGCTGGGGAGATTTTTTTTTCCTCCTGCGTCCTATTAAAAAAAAAAAAAATTAAAACAAACCTTTTGATTTTTTTTTTTAAATTTTTTTTCAACGTTTTTTATTTATTTTTGGGACAGAGAGAGACAGAGCATGAACGGGGGAGGGGCAGAGAGAGAGGGAGACACAGAATCGGAAACAGGCTCCAGGCTCCGAGCTATCAGCCCAGAGCCCGACGCGGGGCTCGAACTCACGGACCGCGAGATCGTGACCTGGCTGAAGTCGGACGCTTAACCGACTGCCACCTAGGCGCCCCTTAAACCTTTTGATTTTTTAAAGTAATTATGCGTACCATTTAGAAAAAGCTACCTTATTAATATTTTGATAGACTTCCCAGACTCTTACTTACACACCTATACATGAAAAGATACAGCTTTAAGAATATGAGATCATACCATACTGTTTCATAACCTGACTTTTTTTTATGCAAGAATCTATAGTGAACCTATGTCCATGGACATCAAAAGATGTACATCATCATCATCAATCTTAATAGTTACATAGTATTCTATTTTATGGAGTTAGTGTAATTTGATCAATTCCTATTGACAAAACTTTATATTGTTTCCAATTTTTGTCTTACTAAACCACGTTTGATGTTCTTTTATAATATCTTTGCTCTCTTGTCTCTATCTTAGGGAAACTTCTTAGAAGAAGTATAATTTTTACATGGATAGGAGAGACATTCTCGTTTCTAGAAAAGTTGTATTGATGTATATCAATACATTAATTGGCAGGGGCCACTGCATTGGCAGGGGCCTCCCAACAGCAGTTGTGTCCAAGTCTTTTAAAAATAATTTTAAGGATGCCTGGGTGGCTCAGCCAGTTAAGAGTCTGACTTCTGCTCAGATCATGATCTCATGGTTTGTGGCTTTGAGTCCTGCATCAGGCTCTGTGCTGACAGCCCAAGAGCCTGGAGCCTGCTTCAGATTCTCTGTCTCCCTCTCTTTCTGCCCCTTTCAAGATTGTGCGCTCTCTCTCTCTCTCTCTCTCTAAAAAAAAAAAAAAAAAAAAAAAAAAAAAAAAAAAAAAAAAAAAAAAATTTAATTTTTTAATTTTAATTTTGTTTCTATTAAATACATGAAAATGATATTTCTAACATGTGAAGGACATAAAGACTGATAAAACATCTGTGAATTTACCATCTAGCTTAAGAGCTAAAAGATCATAACCACCCAAAGCCCCCATCCTGCTCCTCAGAAGAATCTACCTTCCTGAATTGAGTCTCTACCAGCCCTTTGCTTTTCTTTAGTTTCACCACATATGCTCATATTCTTTAACAATATATGACTTAGTTTTGCATGCTTTTTCCTCATGTAAATGAAATAATGCTTTGTGTGTGTATTCTTTGAGGACTTGCTTTTAAAAAACATTTACAAGTGAAGTATATCATGCATACAAAAAAGTGCACTTATCATGAAGGTTTAGCTTGATGAATTTTCTCAGAATGAACACATCCTTAGATCAAGACACAACATTGTTAGTGCCATAGAAATGCACCTCAGCCCTGACCCGGTTACTACGTCCTTCCAAAGGGAACCAATATTCTGACTTGGAACACCATAACATTCATATAAATGGAATCAGAGTGACTAACTTCATACACTCAACTTCATGCATGTTGCTACCTGTATCTGTAATCATTTGTTGTTAGCATTGTATAGTGTTCTATTGTGAATATATCATAATTTATATATCTACCTATTGATGGATATTTGGGTTCATTCCAGTGTTTGCTATTACAAATAAAGATGTTACAAACATTCTCCCATGTGTCTACTTATGCCCAGATGCAAAGTTTCCTTGAGGAGGAATACGGAATGGAATTGTAGGGTCATAGAATATAATTATAGTTACCCTTACTAGGTAACATTAAATGTGAGTTCACCATATTGCTAAAAATAAAAATCTATGCCAATCTAATAGCTGAAAACAATGAAATCTTTTTGTTTAAATTTGGATTTCTTTCATTACATTTATTTCATTATAACGTTTTTAAAAGCTGTTCATTAGCCATTTGTAATTTTTATTTTGTGGATTCTCTGGATCCTCAACCCATTTTTCTGTTGGGTGCTATTATTTTTCTTAATGATTTTCAAAGACTTTTATATATTAAGGATAGTACTCATTAGTCTATTATGAATATTGCAAATATATCCCCTACCATTTGTTCTTTTTATCTTATAGTTTGGGTTATGGTGTTTTGTTTTGTTTTTTTTCATTCAGGAGTTTGACATTTTTGTGCAATCAGAGCCACCATTCTTTGCAGATCCTGTCCTTTCTTCTGTCAGAGCAATGCTTCAACATATTTTTCCATGTTGGATGATCTGTTTGTTAAGGGAGCTTTATTTTTCACAGATACAGTGCATCTGGGTGGTTTTCTAAAGTTGCTGCCCAGCGGTAGCAATGGCTGGGTCAAGATGTGACCCAGATGGGACTTCTGCTATGCAGAGTTTAGAAGCAAAAGTGGTGATGAATTTTCTAGTATCTGGAGACCCATCTTCGTCATACAGAGAATGAAAAGTAACCTGAACTGTGCTAAGGCCAATTCTTTGCATCTTATGCAAGGGATGTGGAAGTAATGGTTGTTTCTCTCCAGAAAACAGCAAACAGGCTAGGCTCATTAGAGAAGGGAAATGTCACCCAAGTGAGAACACCTGAGGGACAAAACTGGGCCGCCTACAACGACCGAATCAACTCTCCAGCAATAGCCTGGCATGGGCTTCCCTCCCACAGGGGTTGTTGACTGCTCAGGCTTTTACAATTCTCAAGCCCTGTTCCAAGGAGCTTTTGTGGTTTAAATCAATGTGCTTCTGGGAATAAGTGCCTTATTATTCCTAGTTTCCATTATTTGCCGTGCTCTTATACCACTGTGACATAATATCCTTTGTGCAGCTGAACAATAACAGTCCTTTCAGGAATCCCTAAGAGCTTTCTAATTAAGACCCACAACCACATGACAGATGGAGAAACTGAAGCCCAGGGACAGGGATGACAGAGCTTCACCTTGGTCACAAAGGGGCCAAGCCCAGGTCTGGCTCCTACCGGAGACTGCAGGGCCCGGGCCACACTACTCATGGAGGAAATGCACCTCTGCAGCAGTGACTGCAGTAATTATCAGGTTGCCCAAGTGCATGGCCGGGACCGTCGGGCCCTTTTAGTACTGCTTAGGCTCCCCCGGGCAGTTGAACTATCGAGTTGAGGACTGAGAACTAGAAATGCCCATTGGGCTGGGCAAGAGCTCTTGAGTTTGCAATCTGTTCTCAGTGGCTTGGCTCCCAGGACCACAAACTGTACCATGGCTAGGTCATTTGAATTCTCAAGAAAGTAAACTTGACCGATGGCCTACCATGTGTCAGGCACCAGGAATGCAAAGATGAACTTCCAATCCCCCCCTTGGATGTTCACAACCTAGACAGAAGAGGAGACAGATATGTAAGTGGAGAGTTACAAGAAGCTGAGGGCTTTAATGGAGAGTAGACCAGAAGCTAGGGTGGTGCCCAGCTCTGTGGGGCTTTCAGGGAAAGCTTTATGGAGAGGCAAACTCTCCACCCAGGTGGAGATGTTCACCTGGTGATCTTTAGAGGTGATCTGAACTTGCTAGGCAGAGCCATAGGGAAGAGAGCAGTGCATGCTGAAAGCCAAATGTGCACACAGGCCTAATATGTGAAATGCATGGAGGTTCAGGGAACAGTTAGGATGCCAACATGTCTAAAGTGGGGCAAGGTAATCCTATTGTTCTTCCTCTCTTCTGTGTTAATGCTTTTTTTTTTTTTTTTTTTTGAGAGAGAGAGAGAGATTGGCTAAGCGTGGAGCCTGAGCCTGATGTGGGGCTTGAACTCATGACGGTGAGATCATGACCTGAGCTGAAATCAAGAGGCCATGCTTAACTGACTGAGCCACGCAGGCTCCCCTTTCTCTTCTATTAAAAAAAAAATTTTTTTTTTAATGTTTAATTTTGAGAGAGAGACAGAACATGAGCAGGGGAAGGGCAGAGAGAGAGGGAAAAACAGGCTCCAGGCTCCGAGGTGGCAGCACAGAGCCTGATGTGGGGCTTGAACCCACGAACTGTGAGATCATGACCTGAGCTGAAGTCAGACACTTAATCGCCTGAGCCACCCAGGCGCCCCTTTCTCTTCTATTTTTATAGGCCAAACTCTATCTTTTTTTATTCTTGATATCTTCCCTATGGATGTTAAAAAGACTAAACATGGGTTTTTTGTTTTTGGGTTTGTCTTTGCATTATTGCTTTAACCTGTCACTCTTCAGGGCATTGTGGATGCCTGTGACTAGGGAAAGATCAAGTATTGGGGAGTGCCCAGATGAAAAGCACAAAGATAAACGTTTTCCTGCATTATAAGGACACAAGGGCGGCTTACGGAACCTTGGACAGGAAGTCAGCTGGGCTGTCTTCTTTTATATAGCCAAAAACATGGCCCTGGATGGCTCCTGAGGTTACCTGCTCCAGGCTCTGTCACCCAGAGGGAGGTTCCATTTGTGGAGTAGAAGCTGGCAAAAGCACATGGGGATGCGAGGGGGAAACGCGAGATGGCCAGCAACGTAATAGAAGACCCGTACGGGAGTGGAAGCATCAGATTTGAACTGTCGGAGTCTGATTTGTAGCTGGCTCTGGAGTCAGGCTAGATTGGGGTGGCGAGAAACCAAAAGCCACCTCCGCTTCCTCTCCTTCCCCTTTCTTCCTTGGTGCGCTCCATTGCCCATTTCACCTCCCATGGGCTTTTCTGGACGGCACTTTATATACCTCCTGAGTCAATGAGAATAATGATGCAGAGTGCTTCTCAGTGTCCCCTCTGTGCACGCTTGGCACCTCAGCCAGCCCTCAGCACCACGGACAAACACTGTCACCCTGACGTATGTGACGACTACCCGCCAAAGCTTCCTGAGAGCGCGGACTCTACCCAGGCAGTGCCCTGCATAGAACAAGCACTCAATCAGTCCATGGAGACGAAAGGCAGGGAGAGAGCAAGGGATGAAGAGAGGATGGACAGGGAAGAACCCGGCCAGAAACCAAAGCTCGCAAAGTATCAACGCATTCTAAGTTCTGACCAATTCCAGCTGCTGCTGGAGGAGAGTGAAGAGGACTCCAAGGAAAGAGCCGAATAAATGATCTTTAAATTTTTTTTTTTTTTTTTACTTGGGGTACCTGGGTGGCTCAGTTAAGGGTCCGACTTTTGATTTCGGCTCGAGTCGTGATCTCATGTTTGTGAGTTCAAGCCCTGCATTGGGCTCTGCACTGATAGTATGGAGCCTACTTAGGATTATCTATTTCTCAATCTCTCTCTCAAAAATAAATAAACATTAAAAACAATTTTTTTTTTCTCATGAGCTCTAGGCACTGGTCCTCTCCCTCCTGCCTCA